CGATGGTTGAATTTCCCAAAGTGAAATGAATAGGACGTACGATGCCATCGAATTTCACTTAGCCTTCTCTCATAAAAGGCTTTAGCCTCAAGGTCGGACTGTAGCTGAAACCTTGACCAGAACTGGATTCGCCTTAATGAGATTCAAAAGTAAGTCGTGCGTATCAAATTGCAATGCAACCATTTCGACACTCAACTGCAGGTACCAGTAGATATTAGAGCTATTGTAACTTTTAAGACAAGACAGGCCTCTCGCAATTCGGGGTCAGTTGGGTTTTGAATGTTGAAAGCTGATACTTGCTAGCCTACTAGATTGGATATTTAATAGGTATAGAAACTATCCCCAGTCTCATTTTGAATGTGAGTTTCAAAAAGCCTGAAAGGTCATCCATCTCTCTAAGCTGGAAAACGCAAATATGCTTTCTAGGATCTTGACATTAGTTCTATTCTTGGCAATTTAGTGGCTTAACCTTAAAGCTGAATGTGACTGTGCCGTCAGTCTTGCCAACAAATATTTAAAATATTGTTTGTTTTGTAAACATGAAGAACAAGATGATATGGCCTTTTGCTTGGTCTCTATCTCCTTAAGATGTGTAGTTTTGGTTGGACCTGGTTTTTGCAACTTGGACGGAGTGGCAGGGAGACCTTGTGGAGAGTACCTAGTCCTGCGTCTTCTGCCAGAGTATTACTGATTATTTTCAGCATTGACTGTTGACCTCGTACAGGCCCAGGAGATTACCTTCACTTGTCACTTTGATAAGTTGTAATCCTGTGCTGACGATGCCGGCGAAATGCGTGGAAATGTACAAAATCAACGGTTCGATGGTGGAAATCATCAGTAATACTCTGGCAGAGGAATCAAGACTAGGCACTCTCCACAAGATCTCACAAGTTGTTAAAACGAGGTTGAACCGACATCAAAAGTTAGTTTGGCTATCTCCTTGCGCCTTGTCTCTGTCGACCGTCCAGCGCTCTGAATTTTCATGTTTCTGCTTAGTGGATAAGTCCACCTTAAAAGAACATTATTCAGATTGGTGCAGTAGGTGTCTTTTTGTCTTGTTAGGATACAACATCTGTTGTATGGTATTGCAGTAATCAGATGAATATCGGACATAATTCTGCATTGAAAGTAGTTCAGTTATGAAATCAAAAAGGCAAGGACGTTCAGTATACCACATTCTGTAGCGGGAGTGTCAATGAAGCAAAGTTGTGTTTGCTTTCAGTCCTTCACCACCTTAAACGAACTAGGATGAATACAGCTCAATTATATGATCAACTGGTAGTCTCAAAAACCTATTTATAAACGAAAGATTATCTTAATGAGCCAGAGCCCATCGTGCTACAGCACAACCTCGCAAAGTGGACCTCGTTCAACTCGCAGCTTAAATGAAAACTTGTCTACCGATATCTGAACATGTGCCATTTGAACTCGACATGCTTCTGGAGTTCTGCTATTGTCCACATTGTTAATGCATTCCATGTAAACCCTGTAGTTTCTCAAAGCTGGATGGATGTTCGAAACACACTTCACCTACAACGCAAGTATTGTTATATTGTTTGCCTTCAGTTATAAAGCCCAGCTACGAGGATAACTGCCGGAATACTCATACTTACGGGGATAAAAACTCGGGCTAAATAAACGTGTTTTTAGCTCGACAGTGAGGCTGACAGTTTAGAGAGATTATGCTGCCTGTCTTGATAGAAATTATCTCAGAATTGCAAGAAATCTCTATTCTCCAACAGTTAGCCTGCTCCAAAATAAACAGCAAATACAAGAGGCTGAATAATATTCCATTTGCCAGATTGTTGTGTAGGTACGAAATGGCTACAGTGAAACAAACCTCCAAAGATCCCTTTGCAAAATGTCCCCCAAACTATCTCGAAGGCATATTATGGCTGAACTGAAAATAGTTCGTCACTGGCAGACGTGCAGTTTTATTTGATGGCTCGTCCACATTGGCATAATGGCTAAGGCTGTATTCACGTGGCAAACTTTGTGAGTCGACGGAAGGGAAGCACACATAGAATAGCCTAAAACCCGTTATGCGGATTTTACACGATCTGTGCTGAAGAACATTGGCATAGCCCAAAATAGGTTGCAAAACCTATTCATAAATCATTTGCTTTGACTTGAAGAGATTTAGTAGAGCCGCCATTATTGCAATACCCTGTTGGTGTTGTTTAGATCTTGTTACAAATAAAAAAACAATGTGAGCAGACCCACCAGAAAGATTTCAAATGTTCCCTTTTTAGGTAGAACACAAGACGGATTTAAAGTCCACTCGCGATCCATGCATACATAGTCGAGGCCACAGAATGTCTGGCTGAAGCTGAGAGTCCCACTGATACAAACACATACAAATAAATTGAAAACGGCGCTAGGTTTGAATATAAACTTCGTTTGTCTGCATGCCAGCCTACAGTTTAACTATCGAATCATCATAATGCGAATAAGGATACATTTAAACAGTAGCATTGTCACAACAAAATAAAAGTGTATACATCGAATCCATGCATGAAAAGATACTTATCATAGTTGGCGGATAAGAACTGCTATCAAAGCACACCTTTCCTGTTGGAAACGATTAAGTTTAACCAATAAATCTAGCATACGCCGACTTTGTGGTTGTTCATTAGAGGATTAGTGCCTCAAACATAATGGATTTGGCCAAATATGAGGTAAGATTTTGTTCCCGTTTAGAATAAGTCTATGAGATCGTGCAATTCAAAACTTTGATAACTCAAATTAACATCTCACGAAGAAATGAAACCGAAATATGCTTATCAAGGCAAAAGCCGTTGCCCTCTATACCGCATATCTCTGTATCCGAAAACTACTAGAAAAGGAGAGATTTCTCCTAATTCGCACAATAACAAGTCTATTGCGAATAGGCAAATTATGGTAATACTGATGAAGTGAGTAAATTAATAAGAAATTCAAGAAATGTAAACAAAGTGCAGTCAACTCACTCAATGCCCCACATTAAAGCTACTCCTTCGTCAAATTAACAGCCACAGAAAATTAACTTTATCGAAAAGATATCAAGCATATACGGTAACTTACCTATGAGCTTTCATTCATGTAGACGTTAGACAGGTGAAATATTCTCATAATACTTGAGCAATTTTATCTTCGAGCTAGCACTCATTCAGGATAAAATATCGGTTTTAGAGCAAGAGGGGGCGGAACAACTTATTCCTTGCTGCCTTAGGACGCGAGATATTTGGTCAATAACCACTTAAAAAGACCCCAAATTTCAGATGCGCTCTCATATCAAAGTGTAATTCATACTCTTCAGCTGTCGCATTTTTATCCGTATTTTTAATTGTTATGTCGTCATATCCCTCAAGCCTGCCAAAATCTGAATTATTCTGTGCGAAGGGGTCTTCTCGTCGCTCAATTATTTTTTAATTTAGCCTAGCATGCGTCATACTGTCACCTAGTCGTTTCTGCACCAGTTGTCATCGCTAATTCTACTCATATTTTACTCTTTACTCGTCAATCTATGCCGATTTTACTTTGATCCTATGCTCAAGTGTTGCTCAGCCCAAAGCATACTATTCCCACTTTGTCGTTTATACCTTGCCAACAAATGTGGCTTGCATGTTTGCCAAGTGAAAGTTACAATCTTTGAGTGCCTTTAGCTTCTGTTCTTCCCTGTAGGCCATCGACGTTTGGATGTCAACATGCCTAGTTTTTGTGTTTGGCGCGCTTATCGAATATGCAGTTGCCAACGTGTTGGCGCGCAAAGCAAGCCTGGCTCGAATAAAATATCGCAACCGGGCCGATCATACGACAAGAGTGATACGGTCATCCTTCGCCAACGATAGGCCCTCTTGGAGGAGAGTAACGGTGCCAGGAAACGCTGATGAAGAGGCGACTAAAGTTGACGGCGAGGAAAAAGCGGAGAATGAGCCTGAAATGATGGCCAGGCCGAAAAGGGAGGCAGTTCTGTCTGTCTCCAGACGCTGGCGTTTGCCTCGCTCACGCACGCTTCTGTACCCAACAAAAAAAGACGCCTGGGTTGGGGAGAATTGTGATGACAAGTTCCGCGAGGAGGACGACATCAACGAAGAGGTCGGCGAAGGCTACACGGAGCCGTGTGGAGAAGAAGAAGAAGACGCAAGCTGTTCCTGCGTCGATGCAGATTGTGAGATCAGGCGCGGACGTAAAGCCGACGCTGTGGACGAGCAGACAATGAGCTGTGCCGGTGGTGGCTGCTGCTTCAGCAAACGAGG